AAATAAATTTGTGATTACCAGTCTATCTGAAAATAAAAATTGTTCTCTACCTACATACTATTTTACAGCTCTCCACATATAGTAGAACCATTTACAATAGTCAATCAGACAAACAAAAAAAAAACAAGAAAACAAATATTCAAACATATAAACAAACTTGAGTTTTACTAGTATATAGATGGATAGATATTTTAATATTTCTACATTAAAGAGCAATTCATTTGTGTTTAATTTGATGAATTAAGTTTACAGTTGCATTGTTTTATTTTTTTATTGACTTAGCCCATACTATGGTATGAGGGTGTGTGTGTGCGAGAGTGTGTGTGAGAGGGATTGTTTATGTGAGAGTGTGTATGAGAGAGAGAAAGTGAGTGTGTGTGTCAGTGAGTGTGTGTGTATATGTAATGTGTGTGTATGTATGTGAATGTGTGTGTGTTGCTGAAGCCACGGGTCTTCTAACGACCGCAGTAACAGATGTGCCGCTGTCATTAACTCGTCATTAACCTCTCATTAAGGTCAACATCATTATGGTTAGGTAAGATATCTGTGAATGGTTAGAATATTTTGTTTTAACATTGAATCGAAAATAGAACAAAAAATTCGATTGTTAAATAATAAATCATCTAAAACTTTAAAGTTTGCTCTTTTTTTTTTTTACTTTCTCGTATATACGAAGTATAGAGAATGTATTGTAATCGTGCACAAAAAATAACATGAAATTTTGACAGTTTTCACCGTTTTACTCCTCAGTCCTTCATCACATCCGGAGTATAGAGGACTTATTTTAATCAGGCAAAAATTATAAATACAAATATATAAACATTTTGGCGTTTTATGCGTTATCAAGTCGTAAAAACTGGACTTTTCAATTCTGTCCGTTGTCTGTGTGTCCGTGTGTAAACACGATAACTTGAGTACCGTTACAGCTAGTTTGATGAAATTTCATATATAAGTATTTTATCAAAATTGTGGATCCTGATCAACTTTTGAGCGATTTCCATAAACCGGAAGTGGTACTTTTTCTACTTTGAATTTTTAAAAAGCCTATAACTTGAGTACTATTACAGATAGATATATTAAATTTCAAATTTAAGTAAAAGATGTAATTCTCTACCTCCTGTCAAATTTTGAGTAATTTCCGTTGACCAGAAGTACCAATTTACGCTATTTCCGATTTCTCAAAAAAACTCATGTAAATTTATAAAGTATTAATAATATTGCGCAATATTATGCACATTTTGTTTTGGCTTTCGCTTGATGCGCAATTCTTTTTTCTACGAGATTTTATTCTATTTTTACAAGCTTTTATTTAACTCACTTCCACTGTCTGTCTGTCTGTCTATCTGTCTAGATCGAAACGCCGGAGCGAAAATTCGGACATTTCTACTTGACGGATTCGATTCACAGTTGGCACGTGGGTCAAGACATGAAGACAATGCGATCTGAAATTAAATTTGACTTAATTGGATTCCTAATTAATTTTTTATGAATTAATTAAAATTTTGACAAAATAAGTAGGCATGTCTATCCAACCACACCACACGCGTCATCACGTCCAATAGTTCTATTGTAAATAAAAACATGTAATGTACTAAAAAGTTTTCATAAAAAACGTTTTAATAACAAGCTTTTATGTATTAATGCACTAAAAAGTAGAAAATAAATTATAGACTACTATTTAAATAACTATAAAGAAAAGCGTGGATCTCTTCCTAAACATTAGTAAAGGTAACCAATAGATACTAAAGTGACCCACGCTTTTTTATAGTTATTTAAATAGTAGTCTATAATTTATTTTCTACTTTTTAGTACGACACTTGAGACGCCAATCTTGTCTTAGAACTTGTATGACACTTGAGACGCCAATCTTTTCATAGAACTTGTACAACACTTGAGAATCCAATCTTGTCTTAGAACTTGTACGACACTTGAGACGCCAATCTTTTCATAGAACTTGTACAACACTTGAGAATCCAATCTTGTCTTAGAACTTGTATGACACTTGAAACGCCAATCTTGTCTTACAACTTGTATGACACTTGAGACGCCAATCTTGTCTTAGAACTTGTACGACATTTGAGAATCCAATCTTGTCTTAGAACTTGTACGACACTTGAGACGCCAATCTTGTCTTAGAACTTGTACGACACTTGAGACGCCAATCTTGTCTTAGAACTTGTACGACACTTAAGACGCCAATCTTGTCTTAGAACTTGTACGACACTTGAGACGCCAATCTTGTCTTAGAACTTGTACGACACTTGAGACGCCAATCTTGTCTTAGAACTTGTACGACACTTGAGACGCCAATCTTGTCTTAGAACTTGTACGACACTTGAGACGCCAATCTTGTCTTAGAACTTGTACGACACTTGAGACGCCAATCTTGTCTTAGAACTTGTACGTTACTTGAGACGCCAATCTTGTCTTAGAATTTGTACGTTACTTGAGACGCCAATCTTGTCTTAGAACTTGTACGACACTTGAGACGCCAATCCTGTCTTAGAACTTGTATGACACTTGAGACGCCAATCTTGTCTTAGAACTTGTACGACACTTGAGACGCCAATCTTGTCTTAGAACTTGTACGACACTTGAGACGCCAATCTTGTCTTAGAACTTGTACGTTACTTGAGACGCCAATCCTGTCTTAGAACTTGTACGTTACTTGAGACGCCAATCTTGTCTTAGAACTTGTACGTTACTTGAGACGCCAATCTTGTCTTAGAACTTGTACGACACTTGAGACGCCAATCTTGTCTTAGAACTTGTACGACACTTGAGACGCCAATCTTGTCTTAGAACTTGTACGACACTTGAGACGCCAATCTTGTCTTAGAACTTGTACGACACTTGAGACGCCAATCTTGTCTTAGAACTTGTACGACACTTGAGACGCCAATCTTGTCTTAGAACTTGTACGACACTTGAGACGCCAATCTTGTCTTAGAACTTGTACGACACTTGAGACGCCAATCTTGTCTTAGAACTTGTATGACACTTGAGACGCCAATCTTGTCTTAGAACTTGTATGACACTTAAGACGCCAATCTTGTCTTAGAACTTGTACGACACTTGAGACGCCAATCTTGTCTTAGAACTTGTACGACACTTGAGACGCCAATCTTGTCTTAGAACTTGTACGACACTTAAGACGCCAATCTTGTCTTAGAACTTGTACGACACTTGAGACGCCAATCTTGTCTTAGAACTTGTACGACACTTAAGACGCCAATCTTGTCTTAGAACTTGTACGACACCTGAGACGCCAATCTTGTCTTAGAACTTGTACGACACTTAAGACGCCAATCTTGTCTTAGAACTTGTACGTTACTTGAGACTCCAATCTTGTCTTAGAACTTGTACGACACTTGAGACGCCAATCTTGAATTAGCTTATGGTTCGCCAACTTGAGTTAAAACATGGGTTGCTCTTCTTGTTTTACAGCAGAGGTTTGTCGTGGAATATGCATCATCTTGTTTAAATAAAACATCGATCAACACCACTGTACTTATCTTGGATCGATAAGATTGTGTTAACATTTAGATCGATACATCGGTTTCAAAACTTTGGTCAAAATGTTATATTACAACATGAGTTAAGATTTTATATTACAGCGTGGGTCACAAATGTTTTTATAACATTGTTCACAAATGTAATAATTCACAGGTCCACCATGTTGCATTGAAACATGGATCACAAATGTTGTATCAAAACATGACTCACCAACTCTACATTAAAACATTGAGCCGCCGATATTGTTCAAAACTGTGTTAAATAATGGTCACATGACCACATCTTTTTTGCCGGGATATTTTATAATCTTATATTGATGACTCTGTTTTAGGTTAGTGGTCAAGTAGATGGTAGAAACAGACTATAGCTAAGTTAATTAAACAGACCAATGGAAAAACAGGAGCTGACCGGTCACGTGGGACGGTCAGCTGACCACTGAAGCGTTAGATCAGCGGCAGACGGTGTAGTTAGTGATAGGTAGCAGTAGCGAACGGCCAGAGAAATATAGAGTTAGGTAGAGAGTTAGAGGTAGATAGTGTTAGCATTGGTCATGGGAGTGTAAATTTGTGTAAAGAAAGAAGATTAAATCTTGAATTGTACTTGTTTGTGTGGTGATTTCACAAAATTATAACCAGGCCGGTTTAATCTTCATCTTCCCCCCCCCCCCCCTTAAAACTGGTGGCAGTCACTTTTTTTTCACCCCCCCCCCTTAAAACTGGTGGCAGTCACTTTTTTTTCACCCCCACCCATAAAACTGGTGGCAGTCACTTCTTTTCACCCCCACTCTTACCTTTACATTCGATAAGATGTGTTATTCTTATCGTAGGTAGATTTCTCAAATTTTTAAATAGTGTTTAAAAATATAAGTAGTTTGATTTTATTTTGATGTTACTTACCTTCATCTCCTCTTTATATTGGTAGATAATTTAAGTTATGTTAGTCTGTAATCTCATGTTTTTGAATGCATTACAATGCCATACATTCGCTGGGTAGGAATGTTTAGATTTCTGTTGAGTACACTACGTGGTATTTTTCTGGAGTCTATGTGTTTAAAATCGGAGATGCGACGCCCTGGTGGTAACGTGCGTTTGGTATCCCAGACATCCCCATGGTTCGTCTTGCAGTGGGCGTTGCAGTGTACATTAATACAGAGGCGTAGCGGCCTTTCCCGGCGCCCGGGATAAACTTTAAATTTGCGCACCCCCCCCCCCCCCATATATTTTTTATATGTATAATTCAAAATACCAGCTAAAATGAGCTTATTTTGGCACCCCTAGAGTCGGCGCCCGGGGATATATGTACCCCCCACCTCTCTACGCCTTTGCATTAATAAGAAGACGGTGGATCTGGTTTTAAAATCAATAAGTAATGATTGTTTCTTTCCTGCAAATCCCCATTATATGTAGGTTCTAGTAATTTAAAAAAAAAAGATATTGAAATAAACACAAATACAGTGTCGATTTATTATGTATTTATTTTTAGAATGAATTTAAGTGCATTTTTGGTAGTTGCATATCTGAAAGTTAAATTAACAGAGAACTTTCATCAGTAGGTTGCAGATTGCTGAAATATAATACAAAAAATAATATTAGATTACAATAACATGGGATTATGTTCATTCAATTTTTTTTTTGTGTAGATAACAATTCAAACGAAGAGAAAATAAACTGATACAAAATGATTATGATAATTCTTTCTTACCTAATTTTGAACATTCTAATTGATATATGAGATATTGTGTGACTTCATAAATGTAAACATTTTCTTAAAAAAATACCGGTAAAATAATAGCTTAAATTATAAGTTAGGTTTCTTAAAATTAGTATTGCATTGGGTCTCTTTGTATGTAAAGTATAGTGTACTACTATAAAACATTTACATTAAAAAATGTATTCTACTTATTTTTTTTTAAATATGTTAGGTAATCGACATCTCTAGTTCGTATTCTAACCAGCTACGTATACAGATATCCTCTGTTTTGGTAAAGATGTAACGTAATCTAAAACTCAAGTTCGCATTTTACCCACCTAAATCCACACATATCTATCCGTCCACTTACCTACAACAGCACATGTTTATCTTCCTTCTGGGAACAGCGTGTTCACTTCTGAACCTGCGACCCCTACAGCACCGTGAGCCAGGCCACCTACTGTGTTCCACAATCCGCCAAAAAGACCAGCCCCAACATTCCCTGCGCCAGCTACAATGTTGCCAACAGCATTGCCAGTCGCTCCAACAACTTGACCAACAGCATTTCCTGTCGCGCCGACAACTTGACCTACAGCATTTCCTGTCGCGCCGACAACTTGACCAACAGCATTGCCTGTCGCGCCGACAACTTGACCTACAGCATTTCCGACACCACCTACGATATCTCCAGCAATACCAACAGCACCTTCCACGCCTGCCTTTAGCTTGTTCAGCAGCGACCAGCCAGCTTCTCCATCAATCCTTAGAGTACCAGACAGACCTGCGGCTAAGTCGCCAAGAGAGACTCCCAGCTTAACAGAGACACCTTTCGCGAACGCCCAGGCTCCATCCAAAGCTCCAATAAGAGATGCAACAAAATCGTCCACGGAGGCTTGAATCTTAAATCCTTTAGCGTCCCATAAACCTAGAACTTTGTTTAAAACTCCACCAGACGTACTTCCTAAGCTGACAACCAAGTTTCCAAATTTGTAGTATACAGGCTTTGAGAAATCGATCTTCACTCCAGCATTGATTGAAACATAGCCATTGATATTCCCAAACGCATCAAAAGTTGGCTTTACTAAAATTCCGGCTTGACTTATAATATCACAAACGGCGCTCACGTCAGCTTTACCTTTCAGTTTTGATTTCAAATTACCCCAGAAGTTCCAGGATGTTTTCAGTGCGCTGCCAAAATCAAATTTCCCTTTGAATGGGTAATCAAGATTGAGCTCAAAATTATTAAACAATGAGCCGATAAGCTGTGCGGCTGTGTTCAATGCTCCGCCTACAGCGTTGCCTAGGGTTCCAACAGCAACACCAAGATTTGAAGCAGCCTCTCCTGCTAATTCTGCAGCACCCTCAAACGCCCCAGACAAAAAGTTAACAAATTTGTCAATAGCGCCTTCTAATTTGATTCCTTTAGCATCCCAAAGTCCAATAATTTTGTTGCGAACTCCTGATGTCGAGCCACCCAAGTTAACGATGAAGTTGCCAAACTTGAAGTAAGCTGGTTTCGAGAAGTCATCAAATCCAGCTCCCAAATTGATTGAAACAAAGCCAGCAATGTTTCCAGATGCGTCAAAGTTTGGTTTAACTGCCTCTCCAACGCTGCCAATAATTTCACCGATAGCATTGGCCACGCCACCTACTTTTCCTTTAATATTTGCATTGAAATTGCTCCAGAAATTCCACGATCTTCCAAGGGCGTCGCCTAGATCAAACTGTCCAAATGTGTTTTTCGGATCAAACTTAAAAGCAAACTTACTCCTCAGTCTATCAGCAAAATTAGCCGCAATGTTAGCTGCGCCACCAACGACGTTACCAACTGCTCCAGCAGCCGAGCCTAGAGCCCCTCCAGCAGCGTTGGCTACATTCCCTACAGCATTAGCAACTCCACCGGTAGCAAACTTTAGACCGTTTCCAACATTGTTCCAAAACGACCAATTGGCCTCAGCAGCGTTTCCCAATGAGCCTGCAATGCCACCAGCAAGATTTCCTAGAGCCCCACCAACATTCGATACAACATTCCCAGCGATGTTTCCAGCCACATCCAGCGCTCCACCAACTAAATTTCCAGCGACATTGACAGCTCCGCCGAGTGCATTGCCCAGGCCTTGAATGATAGCCCCGAAGTTGTTTGCTGTATCTGCCGCTAACTCACCAGCAGCCTCAAAAGCCCCAGTCAAAAAGTTTACAAACTTGTCAATAGCGCCTTCTAATTTGATTCCGTTGTGGTCCCAAAGTCCAATAATTTTGTTGCGAACTCCCGTTGTCGATCCACCCAAGTTAACGATGAAGTTGCCAAACTTGAAGTACGCTGGTTTTGTTAAGTCATCAAATCCAACTCCCAAATTGATTGAAGCAAAGCCAACAATGTTTCCATTGAAGTCAAAGTTTGGTTTAACTGCCACTCCTACTTTCCCGATCAATTCCCCAAGTGCACTGGCCCCTCCACCAACTTTCCCCTTCAATTTGCCTTTCAAATCTCCCCATGAATTCCAAGATCTTCCGATGGCATCTCCGAGATCAAACTTCAAAAACGTGTTGGAAGGATCAAATCTAAATCCAAATCTACTTCTCAGTGTGTCGCCGATGTAAGCAGCAGCTTTAGCTCCACCATTCAGCAGACCAGCTACACCTTCGACCGCTCCACCAAAAAGGTTTCCAGCTAAATTTCCTATCGCGCCTCCAACATTCGATACAACATTTCCAGCAGTGTCAATGGCACCTCCCACAGCAGCGCCAAGACCACCCACAGCATTTCCTACCAAATTCACAGTCGCATCAAGTGCTCCTGACAGAGAAACTACAAAGTCGTCAACGGATCCATCTTCATATTTGCTTCCCTTAGCGTCCCATAAACCAAGAACTTTGTTCCTAACTCCACCAGCTACGTTTCCTAAGCTTACAATCAAGTTTCCAAATTTGTAATACAAGGGCTTGGTTAGATCAAGACCTTCGGCGCGGATGGACACGTAACCCTTGATATTTCCTAAACCATCAAACGTTGGCCTAACTAGTTGCCCAGCGTTATGTATAAGTTCTCCAATTGCATTAACCGCTCCTCCGACTTTTCCATTGAACCTGTTTTTCAAATCGCCCCAGAAGTTCCAAGACGTTTTAAGAGCGTCACTAAATTCAAATCTGCCTTTAAATGGATAATCGATTTTGTAATACAAATTATTAAACAGAGATCCGAGGACATCGCCGGCGACATTGACTGCACCACCTAGAGCACCACCAACATTTGATACAACATTCCCTGCGAGGTTTCCAGCCGCATCAAGCGCTCCTCCAACTAAATTTCCGGCGACATTGACAGCTCCACCGAGTGCATTGCCCAGGCCTTGAATGATAGCCCCGAAGTTGTTTGCTGTATCTGCCGCTAACTCACCAGCAGCATCAAAAGCCCCAGTCAAAAAGTTCACAAACTTGTCAATAGCGCCTTCTAATTTGATTCCGTTGTGGTCCCAAAGTCCAATAATTTTGTTGCGAACTCCCGTTGTCGATCCACCCAAGTTAACGATGAAGTTGCCAAACTTGAAGTACGCTGGTTTTGTTAAGTCATTAAATCCAGCTCCCAAATTGATTGAAGCAAAGCCTACAATGTTTCCATTGAAGTCAAAGTTTGGTTTAACTGCCGCTCCTACTTTCCCGATCAATTCCCCAAGTGCACTGGCCCCTCCACCAACTTTCCCCTTCAACTTGCCTTTCAAATCTCCCCATGAATTCCAAGATCTTCCGATGGCATCTCCGAGATCAAACTTCAAAAACGTGTTGGAAGGATCAAATCTAAATCCAAATCTACTTCTCAGTGTGTCGCCGATATAAGCAGCAGCTTTAGCTCCACCATTCAGCAGACCAGCTACACCCTCCACCGCTCCACCAATCACGTTTCCGGCCAAATTTCCGAGAGCACCTCCAATATTCAGTGCAGCATTACCTGCGGCTCCCACAGCTTCGCCTACAGCTAGGCCAAGATTCCCAACAACGTTTTCAGCCGCGTTAAAAGCTTTTGTAAGAGCGTACGTCAAATCATCAACGCCTCCTTCGACTTCATAACCAAATCGGTCCCAAACACCAAGTATGTTATTCCAGCCTCCACCGACAGAACTTCCCAAACTGATGATCAAGTTTCCGAATCTGTAATACACAGGTTTTGATTGGTCCCAATTTCCGTCTACTTTGATGGACACGTACCCCGCAATGTTGCCTAATCTATCAAATGTTGGTCTTACTGCTTCACCAACTGAGCTGATGATATCTCCAATTGCATTCGCCACTCTTTTACCTTTTCCAGCGAATTTTACTTTCAAGTCATTCCAGAATCTCCACGACTTGCCAAGTGCGTCGCCAAAATCAAATTTTCCATCAAACTCATCGTCCCAGGTCAAGCCAAGATTATTTATAGCCGAGTCAATAAGTTGCCCTGCTGTAGCTACAGCCCCTCCGACAGCACTACCCACACCTTGAACAGCAGAACCAGCCAAAGACCCTGCAGCCTCTACCGCTCTAGCAAGCGACGTTGAAAAACTATCAGCAACGCCTTCAAGCTTGTTGCCAAACTTATCCCAAACACCCACGACTTTATTGCGAGCACCGTTCACCGCAGCTCCTAGACTTACAACCAAATCTCCAAACTTGTAGTACACGGGCGCTGACAGATCCACGTTTAAATTGCCTTCAACATTGACTGATATATACCCGACAATTTTCCCAGACCTATCAAACGTTGGTCTAACCAACTCGCCCGCATTTTGAATGATTTCACCAATAGAGTTGGCCGCGCCTCCAATCTTGCCTTTGAGTCTTCCGCCCACCTCTAACCAGTAGTTTCTAGCTTTACCCAAAGCATCATCGAAGTTAAATTTCCCTTCAAAAGCTTTACCCAAGGAGATGCCGAAATTCCCCACAGCTTCAAGTCCGCCTTTGATAACGTTTCCAGCACCTTCAATGACGGCCCCTGGATCAAGGTTCACCTCAATGGAACCGGAACCTTCACCACCACCAAATAAACTGCCGATGACGTTGCCGACACCTGTGACCGTGTTGCCTACAACATTGCCGGCGGCGTTGGCCACACTAGCCACGCCCCCTGCCGTGCCGGCCACCACATTTCCGGCAAAGTTCCCTACGCCTGCGATGCCACTTGCTAGACCGGAGGCAGTGCCCTTCACAACATTGGCTAAATTATCAAAGAGACCTACGAAAATCAAATCAAAATTTATATTATTAAAACATATTTCTGCAAATATGTACTTCCACAACCTGTAATTGAATAAACGCTTGATTATTTTCTGTTTAGTTAACTCACTAATCCATTTTCAAAAGAATGTGTAAAACGTTATATTTAGTTCTTTTTCTCAATATTTCCATTAAAAGAAATTAGGTGGCCATCTATACGAGGGATTTACTATCCCCATCTATAATCAGGTACCCACCTTAGCTGGGTTGACTGAACGTTGCCACAGTTAATTTTTTTTTTTAAATTATACTTTGTCTATACGTTTGTATTGATATTTATAATACTTTTACATATTTTTTAGAAATAAAAGCTAAAAGTTAAACGAAACCGAGGTTAACTTCCTTTTTTGCGACTCTCGGCTGCCCCTTGTCCTATTTTGTATTGTACTAGGAAAAAATGCTTTTAGTTTTTGGGTTGGATTGTTGTCAAAATAAATTTTTACAATAGCCGGAATAATTTTATAAATATAAATTGACGAATTACATAGTGTATCAGATCTCTAAAGATACTATTTAGTTATTTGTTATGGACTAATCATAACCGAGAAACCCAAAATGTGGTGGCTTTTTTTTTCGTATAAATTATATTTTAAAAACTGCGTTTATAAATTATGATAACAGTTTTTTCTTTTTTAAAACGATTTAATACCTTTAATATAATTTTTGTTCAGGGAAAATTTTGATAAGTTTTTAAACAAATGATCAACAGAAGCTTACAAGATAGTAGTTTTACAATAGACCACAGGACAAAGTAACAACGATATTTATCAGCTAATAAATGGACTACATATTTTAGGAAATTAGTAACCTTGTTGTAATTATTGTACTGTTGCATTAAAGAAAAGAGTCATTTCGTGTTTTATCGTTTTTCAGACGCAATAATATGTAACAAAGCGTATGCTTCTAATAGGTTTTTACAAAATATATGTTTAAAGCATAATTTAAGAAATAAATTTGAAAACTAATTTTACTAAAACTTGTTAAAAACATGTTTAACAAAACATGTTAAATAACATGCAACGTAGCATGTTTGGAATAGGTTTAAAAACATATGTATTCAAAACATTATTTTAAAAAATCATTTGTTTGAAAACTGTTTTAATAAGATATGTTTAAAAAATGTAATAGAAAAATGTGTAAGAAAACATGTTTAAAAAAAACCCATGTGTTTCAGAACATTTTAAAAAAAAGACAAGTTTTAGATTGAATGTGTAAGTACTCACCCCAGCTGTTGACTGGGCTTGGGGCTACCAACAGCGTCACTAAAACCAACGCCAGAAACTTCATTGTTTGCTATTGACTGGATGCCGCCTGGTGAAATTTCATTCGTTAAAAAAAATATTTAAAAAAAAAGTTTGTAAACAAAATGCATCACTAAGGCCCAATGTAAATATTTAAACTCTTACCATGATGCATCAAAAAAGGTTAATGAAAATGCATCTTCTTATTAACTAATAGAAATATATTTCTAAAAACAAAACGATTTTTAAATACTTACCTAATGGAAGACCAAAGTGAACCTGTTTTACCAAGGCAGTAAGCACGTTTGTCTTATAGTCGATGGTACTTTATATACATTTTTATGTAAATTAATTAGCGCTAATTTGGAACGTTGTCAAAAGAGTTCATAGTGAGTTAATTGCTGAGGATCGCTCTTACCGTAACTTATTATGATAATTACTATAAGTGGGAGGTAATTTAATCCGGCTTTATTGTTCGAATTACAAGAAATTCTGAACATTTTTTTAACAAAAGCGTCGACGTAAGGGAATTTTCATAATCAACATTTTGTATTGTTTCATTCTTTATTGTTTCTTATAATATCGTCATCGTTTTTATAGAAAGTAGAGAGTAAAATCTTTAATTTTCTTCGTTTGGAAACAAAATTTAATGAAAGGAAAAGAGTTTAAATGGATTCAATATGTTAACTGGTATTTTGGTGATATTTGGGGTGTGGATTTCTTGTCTTTCTTTTAAGAATTTAAATTAAACCCTCAAACCAAAAGTTTTATTACATTCTTGAGTTTGTTTTGTTTTATTAGTATGCTAAAATAACAAGACACGTGTATATGTAACATCTTGGTTAAAAATGATAACGTGTTTACTTTTGTGTACTTGGATACATTGATTAACTAATTTGTAAAATACAATGCATAAATTATGTTAGGACTAAAAACGAAAAAGGCTAGCATAGCGTTTTTCTCTTAAAAACTATGAAATCTGTCAAACTATCTCTTAATCTACAAAAAGAAGAAAAAACACAACACAAAATGTTTATCTGCAATTAGATAATGACTTTCATCAAGTCTCATTTTTTCACACGTGTTGTGTTGTGTCGATTCGCTTAGCTCGGTTAAAATTACGCTCTCGGGTGAAAAACTATTCTGAGTTAATTAGGACTCATTAAGAGAAAATAAGCAATTATCTTTTGTTTGAAATAGTTCAGCGAGATGAGACAGTAGGTCGCATCTAGTTGGCGCCTGACGTACGTGCCGCAGCTGTTGCAGGGCGTTAGACTCTCGCGTGAACACCACGTGATCAGAGGTTGCCTACTTTACATACACTCCTCGGTCAACACGCTAATCCCCACACCCTCACCCTATAACCATTAGCTATAACGCATTTTCCTTATATCACACACTTATCCTCCTACCCTCCCCCTTACATCCTTAACTAGCTCTCCTCCCCCACCCCTATATCGTCGTTCGCACTATCCTTATATCACACGCTTATCCTCCCACCTACCCCCTACACCCTTAACTCTCCTTCCTCCACCCCTACATCATCGTTCGCACTATCCTTGTATCATACTCTTACCCCCACACCCTCCTCTTTACACAATCTTCCTCTCACTACTTCCTCCTCCCATCCCCGCTTCAAAGTTCCCCACAATTTCACACACTTCCCACTTCCCACAGACGTCCTCCTTTACACACACCCACACACCCACACTTCACCACACATTATTTTACACCCCCGACCTTCCCATAACTCTTCTTGGCTCAACGTTTTTCAACACCCTTATCCTTTATCACCATCTCGGTCCATCTCTCACTTTCTACCACACCCTCCTCATTCCACAATCTTTTTCAACACCCTTATCCTTTATCACCATCTCAGTCCATCTCCCACTTTCTACCACACCCTCCTCATTCCACAATCTTTTTCAACACCATTATCCTTTATCACCATCTCAGTCCATCTCCCACTTTCTACCACACCCTCCTCATTCCACAATCTTTTTCAACACCCTTATCCTTTATCACCATCTCAGTCCATCTCCCACTTTCTACCACACCCTCCTCATTCCACAATCTTTTTCAACACCCTTATCCTTTATCACCATCTCAGTCCATCTCCCACTTTCTACCACACCCTCCTCATTCCACAATCTTTTTCAACACCCTTATCCTTTATCACCATCTCAGTCCATCTCCCACTTTCTACCACACCCTCCTCATTCCACAATCTTTTTCAACACCCTTATCCTTTATCACCATCTCAGTCCATCTCCCACTTTCTACCACACCCTCCTCATTCCACAATCTTTTTCAACACCCTTATCCTTTATCACCATCTCAGTTCCTTCCCCACTTTCTACCACACCCTCCTCATTCCACATTTTTTTCCCACTCTCATCCTTAATCTCAATTTCATTCCCTATTTCATATCTACCACACCAATACCACCGGTCATTCCCATCATTACACTCATTATCTCCTTCTACTACATCCTTATCTTATTACACTCTTATAATCATACATGTTCCTCCTCTCACACATTATGCTTCTATCCCCCCTACACCATCTTCCAACCCCCCTCCTCCCAGGATTGTGGTAGTTCCAAAATCGTCCTTCTTATACCTCTTTTGGTCGTATGAACCACGTTCTATGCATTTTTCTAAGCATGTTTACATGCATGTATGTATGTATCTATGCATGTATCTATCTGTATAGATATATGTATATTTGTTTCTATGTATCTGAGTATCTATGGATATATGTACATATGTATATGTATATCTATATTTCCATGTTTCTGTTTATATATGTATCTATGTATCTATGTAATATGTTGCTATTTACCTCTCTATCTGTGTATCTATGTATTTATGTATTTATGCATCTATGTATCTATGTTTCTAAGTATGTATGTATCTATGTATCAATGTATCTATGTATGTACGTATTTACGTATCTATATTTCTATGTACGTATACATCTATGTACCTGTGTATCTATGTTCATATATATATATATATCTATGTATCTATCATTATATTATACATGTACCAGATCCTTTAGGGATAGATTAATTTCTGCTATCTCAACTCTTTTGCTTACAGAAAACAACATGTGAATATCACATAAAGTCTTTAGCAATTACCGTCATGTTTTCGACGTTAAACACAGAATAATTAAACACGTTAGTTCACGCAGATGTGAGCCTGTTCTGCTCCTGATCAGCTTAATTAAACAACAACAGGAGAGGCTGGAATTGTTAATTTTCTTAATGACATCTACCTGTTTAAAACCCGTATCGAAAGGACGCTTGATTACCTGTAGCTTGACAGATGGGCGTTGATTCGTCAGCTACCCATACCCACAGGTTGAGAATCGAAAATGTTTGTGTAGCGATACTTAGTATCAACATCTATTTAATACAATGAACCTAAGATGGAGAGTAGATAAATATGCCAAGACTGCTCTCATATTAACACAACAGGGCCAGATAAATAGAGACAAAACAAACATGGAGAAGATCAATTGAGAAAGAGTTGAAGAAAAGCGTCCGAACAATACAACAGGCAGAAGTTATATCTAGAGACTGGACCAGAGTTTCTTCCAGGCATCTCTTCGGGGGGAAGGGGGGGGGGGGCTGAACGAAATTGAATGTATATAGAAAACAAATATTTTTACCACTGTCCGCCCCCCGGAAAATTTAGTCGTCCGTCATCTCCCCCCTCCCCCAACTTGGAGAAAAATGTCTGGAGGAAACACTGGAAAGGACGAAATGCCTCTCATTTGTTGATGCCTTGTGTGCCAATTGGCTTTGAGAGAAGATGATTATACAAAATGTAAATATTCAAACCCAACACATATCTACAAACACTAATTTTTACTTGTATAGATCTAACTTTTTTTTTTGTATTTTCTGTCGATGCTGGTGAACTTAAATAGATGCTGGTGAAAGTAAATGCATGTTATACGAATGCGCTGTAAAAATGCATCAATTAATGGCGTGTTAAGCCATCTGTACAGGTGCATTAATTTATTTCTTTGAACATTTGAAACTGCTAATTTAACTCTATTTGAACGTTATTGACCGGTGACATAAGGCTGGTCATCGGGGACTTTCTAGCCCATTCCTGCTGATAGCAAACTGCTGAGTCCAAACTATAGGAACTTAAGAATTTAGAAATGGTAGATAGTTTAGAGAAATCTAAGTACAAAATGTAATAAATATTTCTGAAATTGTGTTCATCTAACAGAAACAAAACTCCAATAATTGACTTCATACATACACACAGCCACACATACAGACAAGATCGCAAAACAGGGTTCATTCCAGCTCATGTGGGGGGGGGGGGGGAGCAGGGAGAGGGGGGTAAAATCTCGATATTTGTGAAATATGTTTTTCACAATTACACACCTCCACATATAAGCTTGACAATAATTAAACAACGAATCGCTCTCAAGTCAAATAAATTTTATTTGTAAATCTGGTATAACGTCTTGTTGCTGTGGCCTTTTTTTTGTTTTTTTTAAACACCTTTGGTGTGTGAAGCTGTGGAACAGAGAAAAATTCCGTGATTTACAGGTGGTGCAGGTGTGGTAAACAAAAGGACAACAACATTGGCACACACTTGTGCGTATAAATCTACACACACATACACACTCTTATATACACACACACACACACATATATATATATATATATATATATATATATATATATTCAGATATATTAAGTGGCAGAAAAAAAAAGCAGTAATACCAAGATGTATAACTATAACCTAGCGTGATGTAATCAGGGGCGGATTAAGCTTGGGCGGGGCCCCGGGCTGAAACTTTTTGGGGGCCCCTGATTATATATATATATATATATCCTAATCAGCATACCATTCAAGATATTAATTTATAACTTATAGGAACATTCGACACCGATATTTACAAAACTGGTAATTTAAAAAGCTGTCAATTGTGTTCAATGAGCGGTAAATTGAATACAAACATTTCTTTATTTTAGTGTTGGAAGGGATCCCCTCCAATACAGTTAATTATACGTGTCAACTGGTTAGGCGCCATTTCAGCCAGCTTTTCTTTTTACTTTCTCTTATATACGAAGTATAGAGAAAGTCTTGTAATCATGCAAAAAAAATTCGAGGTTTTTGCAAATCTCGACGTTTTACACTTCACTGATACGGAAAAACATAATTTTGCAATCTTGTCCGTATGTTTGTGTGTCTGTGTGTTTGTAAACACGATAAATTGAGTACCGTTACAGCTAGGTTGATGCAATTATATAAAAGTATTTTATCAAAATCTTAGATCCCTATCAACTTTTTGAGCGATTTCCAACAACCGGAAGTGGTACTTTTTCTACTTTGAATTGTTCAAAAGCCTATAACGTGAGTACTATTTCAAATAGATAAATGAAATTTTACACATAAGTAAAAAATCTAATTCTCTACCTTCTCTCAAATTTTGAGTAATTTCCGTTGACCGGAAATAATAATTTACGCTATTTCCGATTTCTCAAAAAAACGCATGTAAATTTATAAAGTACTAATAATATTCCGCACTATTATGCACATTTTGTTTTGGCGTTCGCTTGATGCGCAATTCTTTTTTCAATGAGATTTTATTCTATTTTATAAAAGTTTAAGTATTTAAAATGGATTAAAAAACGTAACTATACCCTGAGTTCCCATCCCCTGTGGTTTTATATAAGAATATTCGAGATAGTTTAGGCGAGATCACTCCCGGTTTATGCTTTCTCGTATACAGAGTATAGAGAAAGTATTGTAATCGTGCACAAAATTCACATGAAATTTTGACAGTTTCCACCGTTTTACTTCTCAGTACTTCATTATAAACGGAGTATAGGGGACTAATTTTAATCGGGCAAAAATTCTAAATTTAGATTTATTAAAATTTCGACCTTTTACGCGTAATCTTGTCGAAAAAACTGGACTTAGCAATTCTGTCCGGATGTGTGGATGTGTGTCTGTAAACACGATAACTTGAGTACCGTTAAAGCTAGGCTGATGAAATTTCATATATAAGTATTATATAAAATTTGTAGATCCTTTTTAACTTTTCAGCGATTTCCAATAACCGGAAGTGGAAATTTTTCTAGTTTGAATTGTTCAAAAGCCTATAACTGGAGTAGTTTTTTAGATAGATAAATGAAAATTTCACATACAAGTAAAAGATCTAAATTTTAATAATGAAATAACACACGGGAACAACTACGTTTGTCTTCGTTCAAAAATACGCTATGATAAATAAAACTGCTGTTACCAGATAAAACTAATCAAGTCTCAATGTTCATGTGCTATTGATGGAACAGAACACATTCAACTGTAAATATTGGTAATGCTCAACTTATCACTGAAATACAAACTGGGATGCACACCATGGGTCCAGGGACAATGGGCAGGATTCAGGGCACTTTTATCTCAAGTCATGTGGAATGGGTCATTCTGTCTGTCGTAAAATGGCGTCAACTTGTTTACTTCCGGAATTGATGTCAACTTTCTTTCATAGTTTTTAGTGTTTTTATTCACTATTTAATCCAAATAAATCTAAGGGAAGTACTACTCATCCATTAGGGTTGAGAATGTAGTTTAATACTAATTTACTAGCCGGTTCTTATTGTGATATTTTAAGTTTTTATATTATTGTCTCATCCATTGTTAACATGTAAACCGGATATCTATATTCTTAGTTGTTGTAGATCTACTGATGATTCGTTTTCTTTTTCATCTATTTCTACTGATGTCAGCATGATATTTTAATTTTACTGGTGAGTGAAAATGTTAGGGACTGGTGTTGTCACCAGAAGCAGCAGAGCTAAGAAGTATCGTTTAAATAAAGAAAAAGCGATATAAAAAAAGATTGCTAACATTTGTGCAGCGGATGATATTCATTTTCAAAAGAAAGATGGAGGACAATGCGTTATCATTGCCTTTAGAAACTCAATTAGCTATGAAAAAGTAAAAAGAATCTTCAAAACTAAATATGCTGGTGTTGTTGAGGAAAGAAGGGATGATGATGGCGCCAATGTTGAAGATATTTATAAATTACCAGGGCTGTCTGTCCATCTGTACAACACGAATAACAAAATTATGGTACAGGGAAAATCTAACGTTGTGTCTGTTTGGGTGGATTCGGAATTTTGCTGTATTCTAAATAACCTAATTACAACAGACAAAGCTGTCGACATGCCTCTACCCATGTCGCCGCCACTGTCACTGTCACCACCACCTTCACTGTCCCCACCCAGAGTATTGGAGCTACCCATTTCACCGCCCATGATTATGTCTGCTTCCAACAGTGACAATCAATGTGCAGAGGATACGATCAATACCAATCCGTTAGATTGTGTAACACCTATAAATAACTATACATTTTCATCAAACCTATCTCAACCAACTGATTTGCTTAGTCCAAAAATATCATTTCTTCAAACCACACAACTGGATAATAACTTAAGATCGTTTATTCTTAACGAGATCACCTGTGTTAAAAAAGCTTTTAAAGCGGAGAAATTGCTGTTTAACAGCCAACTAGAACAACTCCGAGTCGAAAACGCTGTCTTAAGGGATGAAGTCAAGAGACTATCTAATGAAGTGCATAGCTGCAAAGATATACACGTTAACCTTAAGAAACGTTTGATTGATCAAGAAAATATTTCTGCGTCACTAAAGAAACTCCTCACAACCAAGAAACCCTCTTGCAGCACAATATCCACCTCAACATGTGAGGATAATCAACAACAACTAATAAATGATACAAAAATCACATCGGCAGGCATCATGCAAGAAGCTCCGTTCCCAATCCCTGTTAAAATTACACAACGTGATGACAGAGCGCGAATCAAACCATCGGAACATTCGAGTCCCAGCACCCTGCAACGACCACGAACTAAAAGCAATTCTACACAATACAGCGTCCCAACGGTCAAGGCTGTTCATGTCCCTGTTGTCCAACGCTCTACTCACTATGCCACTAATAGAGATAGCACACAACATGTCGCCGCCCCCTACACCAACCAAACAACGAAACACCATTTGATCCTTGGTGACTCTACACTTAAAGGTCTCCATCCTGATATAATGGCCACGGATCATTACGAGCGTGTATCGGTAATAGCGCTGCCTGGGGCAAATTTTGAAAAAATTAGGGACGTTATTAGTAGCCGATCACGTGACTCTAATACCACAACTGTAACCTTACATTGTGGTGTCAACGACAGTCTATCAAACGTCAGGCTGTCACAAGCTAATATGCTAGACATTGTGAGAAGTATCACTCACAAATTTCCCAACGCAACAATCCGATTTTCATCCATCGTACCCCCATGTCGGGGCAAGGGTAGGCAGTTGATAGATATAAATAATAGATTTTTACAATCTTTCTGCATTAGTTATAAATACTGTTTTATAAACAATACACCTTTTTTTCACTGCGAAGTCAGGAGCCCCGAGACAACGCTTGTACAGTGACAGTATTCATTTGACTAAAATTGGAAGCAGCATTCTCGCTAAAAATATAAAGTATCCCCAAAGAGCCGTCAGCTTAACAGATAAAGACCATGTGCAACTTCAAACGTAAAAGGTACAACGTCTGATTTGGTTTCGACTGTTGATTTGCTTCCAACAATATCTTCAGATCAATTGAACTCTAGCCCAGGCTTACATCACTTAATGGGCTTTAGCCCTTTGTTGCTTCATCAAGCTCTAATGTTGTCGCTTAAGCGCCTTCCTGGAACCTAACTTTTTTCACTTACTATTTACTAGTTTAGCTCACTGTACTATTTTAATTATAGTGAAGGCAGTGTGAAGAGCAGCGAGTGTTTGTTTATTGGATGACAAAGCGTGTAATTGTAAGACAATTATATTGATTCTGTTTAATTAGTTCATTATATTGATTTTTGTTTATAACATCTCTTATTCATTGATATTTTATTATCTTTATGCATTGTCTATTTTCATCATCCTGGCCCTCACAATGTGGGCTAAAATTGGGCCATTTAAATATTTTCCACATATTTAATAAACACCATGAAGTTCTAAAAATTTTAAACAATTCCAACAATCCTTTCCATATCTTTGGTTTCTCTGAAACTCGATTACAATCTTTTATAAATGATGTTGAGATATCCGTCTCTGATTATAACCTAATACGCCGAGACCCATCCTTACACAAAGAAACTGGCCTTTGTGTCTATGTCCACTCCTCAATTCGTTTCAAGTACAGGATGGATCTGTCAACGGACAATATAGAATGTATTTGGATTGAACTCGAAAAAAGCAAACACCATCCGGCAATTTTAATTTGCTTCCTTTATAGAAATCCCTGTGAAAACATGGATTGGTATGATCGTTTTTGCTCCATGATGGATACCGTTTTATCTACTAACAATGAATATATCATATTGGGAGATTTTAATATAAATTTATTAAAACCTCAAGGATATTGGCAAGATATTATTGATTCTTTGAATCTTAAACAATTTGTGCACACGGCTACCAGGGTAAATGATAAATCTAGTACAAT